AAATGCTTTACAAATTAAGACTTAATAAAAACAAATTTATATTTTGCATGTGAAAGCATTGTAATGTTTACTGATAATCTGCCAAATTTCATTAACATATCCTTACTAATTTAAAAGTTATAGCATGAAAACTATAACAAACACAAAATGGTTACAAGGTCAGTCCTAGGGTCTGAGCCTGTGCTGAAAGAGTTAACAAAACGAGTAGAAAATGTGGTATCTTGTTTTGGTTTTCTAGAGAACATTATCTATTAAGTAACATAATACTTTTTTTTTACCCACTTTTAAAACTGCTTGTTTGTTTGTTGCATTTTACACAAATCTACTTAAGGGCTCTGTGTGCTTGCCATCCTTAATTTTTAAGTAATAGATTAGTGGGAAAGCAGTTAGTAAAAACCACTCACAGTCAACTTTTTGGCTATTCTTTTTCCAACAAAAGATGGGATTAACCATAACATTATAACACTCCCAAAATTGAAAGGGTGAGTATGCTCAGTGATGGGATTGAAACTTATCACCCACAGATTTTGAGTCAAGTTCCCTAATCACCAGGCATTTGACAATTGTACTTGTAAATATTAGTGAACAACACTAAGTTAACTAATACTTTATTTATATTAAAGAAGTCCAATAATCCTAACAGTTTCTTAGATTGGACCTTAGGAAATGAGCTGCCCTGTTTACTGATACTAGATGAAATATCACTCATAGTCAAGTTAAAAACAATATTAAAAAAAAATGCACTCTAAATTCAATTCCTACAAATTCATTAGTATTTTTTACTAAGAAACTTTCAACCTGTTATCAGAATAAACATATTTATAAATGATTAGAAAGTTTATATTAGGTGATGCCCATGAAATTTTGTCAGTCTTATTTTTGATTATCACTAACATTAAGAACAAAAATGAAGTTGTGAGTTTATTGCTGTTTTAATCTCCATATCAAAATAATTTTCATTATCATGATATTGACAGTTTTTTATTTCAGGGTTATGGACCAATGAGACCACCAGGTGGTGCAGTGGGTCCTGGAATTCCTTCAATGTCCATGTAAGTTGTGTTTTTTTAATATGTGAAGGGTATATTCAACATTATTTTTTCATATATGCTTGCTTATCTCACTGAATGAAATGTGTAAGATCATCAGCGCAAAAATTCCAAACTGTCCTTTAAATACACAAAATGAAAAGTAAATTTAAATCAGTTTTCTTTTAACTTAGCTTGTTCAACTCTCTTAAGTTTGTCTTTTTTATTTTAATTCAAACTAAGGTTAATCTTTTCCTCTGTAGATTTCTCAGGGGGTAAATATAATTATTAAGATAATTAAAAATTGGCCAGTTCTGAGAAACTTGTTAGAACACACGTAAGTCATATGAGTGGGAATACAATCCTTAACCAGGCAAGTTTATAGTTCCTCATTGTATCTTGTACATGTACCCATTTATTTTAAACTGTCAATATTCTTCTTATTGCTTATTACTAATATCTATAATCCTGTTCAACCCAAAGAATAATGAGTAATTTGACTTTCTTTACATCTGTACAAATGTATATAAGTGCATACTAGTCAAATACCATTTGTGTAAGTGATATCAGAAAGTATGAAAAACTTTCAAGTCTTGAAATTGATCATGAATTCTAAGCTTTAGCTATTAATAATATGTTTAAAGGATATATTTTGTAGATGGGTTTAAACTTTATATTCTAATATAGCATAAGAAAATAATGAACAAATGCAGCAAAGTACAGTAAAATCTGAAAATATAAAGAAAGGATTAACCCTCTTGCTACGGGTCTTCCTATGGTCAGGGGTCAAAGAGCATGTCAGCACATTTGTAGACTTGCATTCAAAATGTTTTTGAACTACTATTTTATGAATGTATGTCAATAAGTTAGTATAATACGTTAGTGAATTTCTTCATTTAAATCTTTCGACACGGGGTCGGTCGAGTTGACCGAGTCACATGACCTTCTGTACTTGTCTAAAGTTGACATCAATTTAATACTTATAACTCTCTATATATTGGGTCTTCATGAAATTTGGCAGTCTTTCAGTTAATATTACAAGTCTTTCACACACAAAAAGTCATATTTCTTAGTGAAGTACTTTTAATAAAATAAAATAAAGTTTTGTCCATGAATATATTGAGTATTTGTTTTGAATAGTCCATGTGCAAAGTAATTTTCATGTTAAAATTAAAAATACTTTTCGTCATCTCAAAAATCTCAACTTTCCTTTGTGTAATCCCTAAAACTTCCTAAATGCATTTCAAACGTTTTTTTTTCACCAAATCCTTATAGTTTATATGTTATTTTCTCTATCCTAATCTCAAAAATCTCAACTTTCCTTTGTGTAATCCCTAAAACTTCCTAAATGCATTTCAAACGTTTTTTTTTTCACCAAATCCTTATAGTTTATATGTTATTTTCTCTATCCTAATCTCAAAACTGGATCGGTCAATTCGACCAACCTCGTAACCACCAAAAAAAATCGAAATAAACCTAAATTAACCTTCTTTTATTTCTAGTATGACTTCAAATTATAACCTGAAACTACATTCGTTTATCCTAAGTAGCTCTAAGTTCGTAACATCTATTTGTAATTAAGTTTTATTGTTTTATTGCCCTATGAACTGTGTCTAACTGCTATCCACGCCATTATAAATTGTAAATCACTCGGGGAATGTGCAGCTCACGTTACGCTATCGCTTTACATTACCCATGAGCTGCTTCGTGAACAATTTTAATCATATTATTATTACTTATTTTACCTAATCTAGTCTTAAATAACTTAAAAAGATTCGTACTTTTAATTTTAGTTACTTTTATAATAATAAATAAAGAGTAAATATGAAAAACAAGAAATAAAGTACTTACCCAATCTTCTTTTTTCTTGCCCTCGATTGTGGAGTAGAGTTAAGCCTGATTTTTTAGCAATTATGGTAAAGCACTTAACAATTTTTTTTACTTAAATAATACACCAAAGAATATAGACTAATAACATACAAAAAGTAGAAAAATTCACTTATTTCTAAAAATTTTCCTGGCTTTCTAACTATGAGACAAGAGCCATTACAAATTCATCCAAGCTAGTCGTTAACTTTCCCATGGGAACGAAATTGCTACTCCGAGTGACATTAATGGTTATCTGTTCAAAACACAATTTTATACAAAAATGCCATTTGATAGATGAAAACCTTGACTTTCTATTTGTTATAAATAATATATAATGAAACATAAGAAAGAACTATCAACCAATTGTGAAAGAGAGGATGTGACAGGTGGGTGTGGCAGAATGAGTCTGATTTTCTCTTTGATAGCTCTGTAGCAAATCAAAATTGAAGGCCGAAAAATTATGGTTTGTTTGAACAATAACAATTTTATAAAGAGCATTTTACGTTTTATTTCGTACATTTTAGAGGGGTGTTGAATAAAATAGGGATGATGACATGTTAAGACAAAATTTGTCAAGTGGGTCACACTAGTGGAAATTCAGGATTTTTTTATATATTTCCTTTTAGAATTAAGAACTTAAAACTTGTGTACTATTAACATATGGATTATTAGCTGAGATTTTATGCTATTCTAATTGGTATAACAACAAAAAGTAGTTTAATAAAATTTTGAATGTGTCATGTGCAGTGAAGAGTACCTCTGCAGAAAGAGTTAAAAGTAAATATTTAAAAAAATTCCTAAATATCAGTTTTTGTGTGTCACATGATATGTTGAATGCAACGTTGGTTCAAATTAAGTATTTAATATATTAATCTCAGACCAGTTTCTAATGATTACAAAGAACAAAAGATGCACTGTTACTCAATTTAGTAATATAACATAAAGAAATCTTGAAAATACAAGTTGCAAAAGTCTTCACCCTCCTCAGCTTTTATCATCGTTGATTTAACTTTACGTCACTACCCTGCTAAAGTAAATACAAGTGACTCTGTACAACTCTATCAGATACCAAAGTATATTATAAAGCCATGTGAAAAAATACTTTAGGTCATATAGAGCCATCAGTATTGATTTAAGCAGAGTATTTTGAAAGTTAAGAATGTTTTGAGAATGATGAGAAAAGAACTCTCTACAGACCTAAGGGAGAAGATTGTTCAGAAGCACAATTTAAAGGTTCTCAATTTGCCATTATATACTGTAAAGTTAGTTGTGAAGATATGGAAAGTGTGTCACACTACTTCAACCTTACCAAGATCAGGTCACCCTAAGAAAGTCTGCACTCGAACAAACAGAAAAATTGTCAGGGAAGCGATTGTCAAGCCAACAGTGACACTGAAGGAGCTGCAAACTTCAATAGCAGCAACTGGAATTACTGTACACACTTTGACAATATCGTGTATGTTACAGAAAAAAGGCTTATACGGTAGGGTGGCAAGAAAGAAATTACTACTGACGAAAATGCATCTTAGATCGCTAATGGACTATGCCCATAAACATATCAATAACCATACAACAATGTGGCAGAAAGTTTTATGGTCAGATGAGACCAAAATAGAAGGTTTTGGGTTAAATGACAAATAGTATGTATGGCAGAAACCCAATACTGTTTACAACTCGGCAAATACAGTCCCACTGCTGTAGGGATGTTTTTCTGCAGCTGGCACTGGAGAACTTGTACACATTCAAGGGATCATTGACAGTGCAAAATATACACAGATGTTGGAGGTAAACCTGAAGAAGTCATCTGAAAAACTAAAACTCGGTCAAAGGTTTACATTTCAACAGGACAATGATCAAAATACACATCAAAGGCAATCCAAGAATGGTTTCGGAGAAACAGAATTAAAGTTCTTGACTAGCCAAGTCAAAGCCCAGACCTAAATCCACTTTGAAAATCTGTGGAGAGATTTGAAAATTGCTGTGCATCGAAGTTGTCCTTCCAACTTACCAGAACTTGAGGATATCTGCAAGCAGGAGTGAGTAAACATATCTCCAGTATACTGTGTAAAGCTTATGGAGGGTTATCCGAAACAACTTTCAGCTGTCATTGATGCCAATAGAGCTTCAACCAAATATTAACTTCATAATCATGTTAGGGAGTGAAGAATGTTGCAACATGTGTTTTCAAGATTTCTTTGTGTTATATCACTTAAGTGAGTAACAATGCACCTTTTGTTCACTGTAATCATTAGAAACTGGTCTGAGATTAATATAATAAATATTTTTGGCCATTTGAGTTATGTTTTTCACGAGGAAATAATTAAAAATGATTATTAGCACAGGGGGGTGAAGACATTTGCAAGGCACTGTACATCCTACATGTACAAAATTTGACAAGACTTAGCAAATTACACCAACCAACAAACAAGTACAAAGTTAGCAAGTAGAAGAGATCATTGTTTTCTATATTTCGTTATTTAGTGTTCTATGTTTTAAGGAAAATAATTGAAATTTCAGAACTTATTTGTAAATAGTAATAATATATATACATATGTCATGTATTATAACTGAAATGTGCCACACATGCACTCATGTTATATTATCCAATAGTATAATACTGGCTTTTACAAAGTGACCTGTCTTGGCTTTGTTCTAGTGGACTAGTATTTTGTAGAATACAATCACATTTCAGTTATAATGGTTTCTTGCTATAATTTGTAATCATTATAACATGAAAAAAGCATAACTTGTATCTATTTCCTAATTTTTATGGTAGTTCTAAGGTCAGTTAAATCAACCATACAGAGATACAATAATGAAAATAACAGATAAAATATCAAGTTTTTTCTAAACAAAAACGTTTGACAAATGTGTGGAGGTTATTATGAGATTATAAGGATTTTGCATGTGAAATTTGACAATTTTCTGATGTATAAAATAACCATACAACCATAGCATTCACAAGGACAGTCAACATTTGAAAAGAAAAATGCATGAGCAAATCATTACTTAAAAAATCTTGAAACTTAATACAAAAATTTTGTATGTTGTGTACGAAAGTCTTTTAATGTTTACTGATAATCTGCAAAATTTTATGACGATATGCATACTGTATTAAAAGTTATATTATGAAAACTATAACAAGCACAAAATAGTTACAAGGTTGGTCCATGGAATGGAGCTCATAGTGAGAGAGTTAAAATCACTGTAAGAGAAAGAGAAAATATGTGGTCAACATTATGACTAAATAACAGATTATTTGTCTAAAAACTTTTCCACTTATTTTCTTTACAGTGATTTTAATAATTTATTTATATTGTCACATACGAACTAAAATTTAATTTTGTTTCTCAGTCATTGATATGTAAGAAGACATATGAAAGTGTTGAAAAGAATTGAAATATTATCTAATCACCAATTATCTAGACAGTTTGTCCATATGAAGAACAACACTTTCATTTGTATACCTTCCAGCTATACCTTTAAATCCCATTTTCAGTACCTGTAAATTTATAGCAATGCAAGTGTGGTCAATAGTAGTTTCTATATGCTTAAAACAATAATTATTTTGATTTTTCTTTTACCTAAAGGCAAGGGCCTGGTGGTAGAGCATGGCAACCTAACACATCCACTGTAAGTAACTTGTCAAGAATTTATTATGTTCACACATCAGTAGTTATTAATGATTAGATTTTTTGTGTGCTTTTGTGTTAAATTATTAAATAAACAGGTGTTTTCAGCAACATCTCTTATAATCACATCATAATGGGAAATTAGAAGAGTGGTCTTGTAAAGCTTAAGTGCATACTTTTTTAAAACTATAGAAGCTTTAGAGTAATCACACCATTGGCTGTCACTGTTGTAATCTCAAGGAAGAACCAGCACATAAGCACTTAAGTCTTGCCAAAAAAAGAAGCTTCATGGATCTTGTATGTAGAAGAATAGATGTATTTATTTGTCACAGTGAGTGATAAGAAGCAAATGTTCAAGTCTGAGTAAAATAAAAGTAGGAGAGTACCTGGTCAGGATAGTGGTGACTATTGTGTTGAGAAGTAAGGAAAATTCAAACGAAAATGAACTGTAATGGGGGTTTTAGTATATCAAAAAACTTAATTCCAAAATTATATGAAGTGAAAATAAAGCATACACAGTGGTTAGAAAGGGGTGTAAATGGACAAGGACTGGACATTGTCAGTGAGTCTTAATTCTTTCATACACAAAATGAAGTGCTCTACTCAGGGGTCAGAAAGAATCTCTTAAAAAGCATCAAAACTACATTTATAGTACACATTGTCTATAGCTGGTCAATCAGAAAATAGAAACCAGAATGCAGAATTATCCCTGCTTCATGTGACTACTGTGAGATTAGTCCTCTGAACACAGGATGAAATAAAATACAGTGTAACTATCCCATAAAATAGCAGATACATTCCTTGACCAGTCCAGCTACAGAAAGTCAAACCCAGGTTAAATTTAGCACATAACCAGATTTAGGATGTTCCAGATATGTAATATTTGCATGCTATAACTCTCTTCTCCTTGATATTAGGCCTGTTTTCAAGCCTACTTTAACTTAACTTGGATTAAAAAGTTACAGCAAGATCCCATGAAATTGCATGAAAATCACAACCTTCTGTTGGAGGTGATGTAACAGAATATTACTGGACACTCAACATAGTAACGCAAGCTAAACGAAAGTCCTCTGTATCATACATTGCTAGCTAAACAAGTAATAAATAACAAAATTGACACAGAATAACCCTTTAAAATGCACAAGATATATACAAAAGTGAAAACTTTTGAAATGAAATAAATACAAACAAAAAGAAGAGCAACATGGACTTTTGACTGTATGTACGTAAAACATATATATAGAAACTACTAAATAAAGTTACGTAAAGTAAAACAGAATTATATGATCTCAACCCACACAATGATAGTAAAGAAACACATTACATCGACATTTAGTCAGAAACAAAATTAACATAATATCAAGCCTTTTTAAAATGATAAAACAGTATAGAAAACATTTTTTCAAATGCATATAGTCACAATAATAGAGTAAATACTAAATTTAGAATGAAAAACCATTCAAGATTGAAATATGAAATTAAACCTTTAATATGAAATGTGATATAAACCCTGTAATATTGAAATGTAGAATAAAAGGAAACACGAAATACTCATGCAGAGATTTAGCATAAAGAAAGAAATTAATTGATCAGAATCATTACATAGTTACAAAAACAAAGAAAAATTAAAATATATAATAAGTAAATATAACACATAAAGTTTGCATACACATGCATATTTTCATACAAGAGCTCCAACAAGTATACTTTGAAGGTGGTGAGTAGGTTATTCAAGACCGCTGTCAGTAGACATTTTTCCAGCAATAGTTTGTGGTTGACCTCTGTTGCTTTGACCAAAATGTGCTTAGTCTCCACAAGCACTGCTTGCAGTTTGTTAATTTCCTCAACATCTTGGGGTTTTCCCCTTTATGGTATTGGCTCTACTCATGGGGTATGTAAGACCCAGGTGGTATTCCATCTTTATGCATGGGCTTGAAAGTGGTTTCTTCATCATATAAGTTACTTAAAAGCCATAGTCTTATGGGTTATTGGTTGGGTGCTTCATCAGTGACTCCTGTATTTGTAGGATGTCAAAGGTACTCTGTAGTGACAATCTCCAGACATCATCTTGTGGTCACTGTGGCTGTTGTCATAGGAGTGTTTGTAAGTTCAGTCTTCCTTACTGGACTGTATTTATCTTTTAATTGAAATTCTCAGAGGTTTTGTAGTTGTTCTTCAGCTTGGTAAACTACCACTCTGGTCTTTTTAGCCTGTGGTTTTGTTGGATGTGAGCCTAAATGTCACTACAGTGATAAATTACATCTGGCTGATGTTTGGTTGTAATGCCTGGATTGAATGGCACAAGGCACCTAACTTCTGAAGGATGAGGTCAAAAGGATGAACTCCTTTGATGTGACACTGGACAATTTGGGGAGTTTAGGAGTCAAGACATTTCTTGTCTCCGTCAGTATCTTGTCTTCACTCACATCCTCCAAATGTGAGATAATGATGTACAAGATGGGGACAAGGAGGGGATGGTGCATGTCTATCAATGTAGGAGTTGGAGGAGTATCTATATCATCAAATTTGATTGTAAAGGAACTCCTAATTAAATCCCCCTGCTCAATAGTTGAATTAACTCTGAGATCTGTATATCTTCCATGATAAAACTGTAGTTAATAGTTTAACTTTGAACTTAAAAATCACAAGATAAAAATTAAGTCCAAAATATCTACCCTGCATAAAAGATTAGAGTAAAAGTGATAACTTTCGTTTCTTGGCATATTCGCTCTCTGACATGATAACCATATCATCACCCACACTAATAGATACCTATGTTTACTCAAAAGCTGTTAAATGAGGAATTATATCAAACATGTTTGACAGAGCCAGAAGGATTTGTGATGAAAATCATGTTGAAAAAGAACAAACCCTCCTAGATAAAGTTTTCAGAAACAGTGGATACCCTTCCAGTTTTATGTGTACCACCAAGAGGAACGTGATTTCCCACCACTCACAAAGAGACCAAATTCAACACAAATCAATCATTTTTATACCCAACATTCCCAAGATAAACAAAAAACTTAAAAAGATTTTCCAAAACTTTAATGTCAAAGTTTGAAATCAGGAAAAGGTCTTCAAACATCCTTACTAAAGTGAAACAATCAACCAACAAGTCAAGACAAAAAGAATTCATCTATGAAGTAACCATGTTCATGTGGCAAATTTACATTGGATAAATTGGTCAGACCATAAAACAGAGATTAAACGATTTTAAAGATGCAACTAGACATATACATCCAGATAAATCAGCCTTAGCTGAACATCATAAGTTGGGATCAACATAGAATTATAGACAAAGCTCACCATTTTTCAGAAATAGAAGGTGAAGAAGCTGTCTATGTCTAACTAAACTAACCTGAACTCAACGGAAACAAAGGCTTGTGCATCAGCAATATTTGAGCAACCACCTTCAACAAACTCTGCAGATAATATGATGACATCACAGTTGTACTGACAACTCCTGCCAATCACTGCACCTGTTCAACCTACACAGCTTGGAGCTTTACTACAGAGTTGTGCATACCTTTGTAAGACACTACACACAAGTACCTATAGTGACCTGAAGAAGACCTCGGTATAGAAGCTAAAACATCATCCCCTTTTCATTCAACAGGCATTTGCAGTCCATTAAAGTTCTCAAACTAAGTTGGATTAGGCCTAGTTAATTTAATGTAGCTAATTACAATAGTGATTTTAAAAAAACATAGAAGTCAGTACTCTAGTATCAAACATGCTTGTATGCTTGTATTTAAGTTGATTTTTTTCTGTTTAAAGAAAATTGTGTTGAATAAAAGTATTGTAAATTTTATTCTAAAAATAATGTCCAAATTTTACCAAAGTTTATTCACTATTTATTTTTTTTTCAGATTAATTATTCATCTGCATCACCTGGTAGCCATTATGTAAGTACTTTTATGGTTTTTATCATTACCACTGCTGTAAAATTTAGGCTTATGATTACTTTAATGTAGTTCTTTATGATGGTGTAAACAGCCATTGTAAAATGAATGAATCCTAAAGATAGTAACTAGGATTTAGTGTAAAACAGTGATCATTGCCTTTACTTTTATGTGGGATTTTTTTATTTGACAAGTTACTTAAGTCTTTTAAAACTTTTTTCCACAAATTAACCTATAGTGTATTTCAGTTGTCAATATACTCTCATGGTTATTTTTAGTCATATTAACCTTCTGGAAATGAGTAGGTAAAAATGTGCATGCCATGACCTATTTACAGTTATATTAAATATTTAATTCAACTACTTTATTATCAATGAATGTCAATAAACTTGACATTCAAAACCTAGGTAATAAATTGATTTTAATATTATATAAGTTTTACTTTCAAACATAAATAGTTAAATATATTCTCAATCTACACTTTTCCTATCATGTCAGACTTGTTTGGTGCAAATTGCATAATTTAGATAATCTTTCCACCCCTATTTGAGTTGTGAGTTTTAATGCAAATTAAAAACTTGTAGATATTGCTAAGACATAATCTAACGTTATAGCATTCACTTGTTTTGTTTTAATTGGATACAAACTAGAAAATCCAAATCACATGGCATACTATACTGTCTTTTGAAAATGTCCATAATTCTCTCTGATGTTTGTTATTACATTGTTTATAATCAATAGAATGTGAAGATTTCAGTTAACTGATTTGCGTATAACATTAGCTTGTTCTTTTAACAATTTTTCAATTATTTGGCATATAGGACTGAAATATTTAATTTCCAAATAAAATTAGTTTAAAAACACTTTATCAAAAGACACATTAAACCACTTCCATATCTTATTAAATATTAGGAAGTGATAAGTATAAGTGAAATAGGGAATTAACGAAATAGTAACATGGTGAATGGTAGGGTAGTTCTCTACTTTATTTGTAAGGTTAGGACCAAACATTGAGTGGCTTTATTGTGAAACTACGAAAGGAAAGAATATACGAGGTGAGAGGATTATGGAACTATAACTCGGCATTTATTGATGGTATTGCAACTTTTAAGAAATGATGCTATACTATTCTACTATGCAAGACCTCAAAACTTCAATTTTGTGTAGCAATTTATTTCCATCCCTGAGGGTTAATGTAAGTTCATTTTCAGTACCTTCTGTTAACTCTCAAAATACTAACTTATTTTTATACCATCCACTGTCAGTAATGAAAAAATTCACATCTATATATATAATAGCTAAATGTCTGTCTGTCACATTTTATACCTCCTGAATGGTTAAACATAGAAAAAAAGTTATACATCAAAATGCTTATTTTCAAGAGTACATAACAGGAAAATTATTAATTTTTTTTGCATTTCTCTAAACTTTCATGTCGATATCAACATTGATCTGTTTGTCTTCATATGTGCTAAACAGTCAATCTGAGAAAAATTGTTAAGAACAAAAATGTTCTTTTTGTGAGGGAATTCCATAAAGAAAGTGGGATTTCCTCTGTCAACTGATTGAAAGAAATATATCAAAGATAGAAGCATAAAAGGAAAAAATGCATGAAGAGAGGAATGTGTTTGAGTTTTTATTTGTTGTTGTTCAGCTTATTTTTTGTTTATTTATTTATTTACTTTTGTGTTGGTACTATATACATGCATGGTTTTGTTGTACCATCTTGAATAAATTTATTTGAATTGAATACATTACCTCGGACACTGCTTATAGAAATGACAACTGTCTAAAAGCACTCACTTCAGTAGCTCTCTTTTTCTGTGCTCAGTAAAATGACAAGGAATGGTTGCATTCAGTGAAATTTATTCCTCCTGCTACTTTTTGAATGTAAGTGCTCTGTAGTGCTGGATGCACCCATTGAATCAAAACCCAAACACTTTTTGCCAACAATACATTACAGTCAGTTTCATTTGCTTAAAAACAAATGCAATGCAATTTTACATATTCAAATAACATGTGGAATGACAAAAGACAGTTGTAAATTGCACACTAGATAATCATATTGCATGTATGCTCTAGTCCAGGGAATTGGTTGCTGCTTGACTGCATATTTTATGTTTATTCATCACTATTTTTAGGAAAATTACTGTTGAATTGTTTCAACAGGCATCTGCTAGTTACATCATATTCATATTCAAAAAAAAAGAAATAAAATACCTAACTGTCATTCGTCGAAGAGAGTTAACCCTAATTTTTTATACTAATGATACTAATGCACCAAAGAATATAGACTAATAACATGCAAAAAAGTAGACAAATTCCCTTACCTCTGAAGATTTTTCTGGCTTTCTAACTATGCAACAAGAGTCGTTACAAATTCATCCAAGCTAGTCATTAACTTTCTCATGGGAATGGTGTTAGTACTCTTAAGTGAAATTGATACTTAACTGTTCAGAACATAACGTTATACAATACGTCATCTGATAGATGAAACCCTTGACTTTCTATTGGTTATAGTTAATATATAATTAAATGTAAGAGAGAACTGTGAAAAACTCATAAATTTTAAGAAAACAATGATAATTTTAAACACAATTCTATAAAAATGAAATTGTTTCCAGTTTCCAAATTACTAAAACACAATAACTTACTGCACAGAATAAAAAGTGGAAAAAAACCCAATGAAACTGGAAAACAATCTCATACACTCTACATGTTTTGACATATACTACTGCATCATTCTCAGGAGTGTAATGTTTTGCAAAAATAACACTTATTTATGCAATTATCAGATCACCAAATAACATATTAAAGAATTTCACGCCATCTGCTGACAACATTTCCATCAGGTCCATCATCTTTATTCAATAATTTAAATTTACTTTTTTTACATTTAATTATCTCAATAGATTCACGTATATTCATACCAATTACATTTCCAGGTTGTGCTAAAATAACATTTTTTCCGATTGAATTGTGTGATTAGTTTCACTAACATGTTCTGCTAAAGGTGAATTAGTAATATTACTATTTTTAACATTTCTTTCATGTTCATTCAGTCTGAATTTTAAATTTCTTCTAGTTTGTTCTATATAAACTTTTTTACATTCACATAATATTTTATATATGCCAAATATTTCCATTAAATCAATTTTATCTTTTATATAGTTTTGAATTAAAACTCACTATAAGAAAAATCAAGTCAAAGTTCAGTTTTAGCTGGGTAAAAACATAATTATATTCTGCAAGTCAAATCATTTTAATATGAAAATTGCAATGAGGGAAAAATTCATATTCCACAATTGTGAAATTGTAACAAGGAATGGATCAGGATATCTGTTTCATTATTTTTGGTTGAATTGGACCAAATTTGAAAAATTGATATAAGATTACGGAAAACAAGAATGGTGGAAAATAATTTTCAAAATGACAGTAATCAATTGATGAATCAACAGGTTATAGGTTTTGTTTTATAACATCTACTCCCTGTTGTTAGTGTGTGATATAGAATTATCTTCATTAACCTATAACTTCATTTTTTTTTTTTTTTCAGTTTTAGCCTACTTTTGGTCATAAGCTATTACTAATGTGCTGTATGAAATGTTTCTTTTATGGAAAAGTATTAGCTGATACTTACCCTGTTTTTCTATGTACTAGTCATGTAGGCCTGGTTTAATTTGGTTAGCATGTTTAAGTAAGTTCATATTTTAATAAGGCAGTTTTTTGTAGCATAGTTTGTTCAAATTTGTCTTCCCTTGAATAGGGTCCACCAGCCTCAGGGGCAGGTTCTCAGAGGTCAGGAACACCTATTATGCCTAGTCCTCAAGGTAAGTCTCATTGTGACCTAGTCTTCGCATAATTTTTATTGTAGTTGTGGTTGTGATAAATAGGCATTTGTTTCAAAATCTTGCTACATCTCTAGCAACTTTAATATGCACTGAATTTATTACACTTGCTATGTAAATGCTGAAATTGCAATACTAAGTATTCCTGTTAATAATCTTTGAATTTGCTGAACCAATATTAAATTTGTTTTGATTTTACATTTTGTAATGGTTATTTTCTCCTTTTTTTGGAATTATCTGTTTGATATATGCAAGTTTTAAATGCTGTTTTGCATTTTGTGTAGTATTCACAATGTTTTATTCTTAACAATAAGTTTTTAACTGAATTGTTAAGATGTTAAGCTGCTAGTTGTTTTCTTAATAGATTTCTTCTAATACTGTTTTGATAGCATACACTAGTGGTTCTCAAAAACATTAAATCTTAAGTTAAAAATTTATGAGGAGCATATTTGTAAAACTACGGATGGTACTTAAACATAAAATTTTAGGTTAAAAATTTATGATAGAGATATTGTTTGTAAAGCCTATCTGTATTTTTGTTGTTTTAATAATAATGGATGCAAGCTATAGGTCATTTTAGGTGAAAAATGTTCCTAGTATTATCATGTGAAGTACTTATAAAGTGTCTTTTAAGGGATTGCTTGAACTTTATTTTCTTTGTACATTACAAGAAGTTGAGATGTTAATAAATCTGCTATGAACAAGATTTTAACTTGAAACTTCTGGATTGAAGTAATACTCCAAGACTGATTTTTTGTATCTCGGGTATTAGAGCCCAAGACCCAAACAGATAATTCCCATTCTGACCATTATATAATCCTCTATTCATTGAGGTATCAGAACATTAAGAAATCTGTGCTGACCAGGGCTTAAACTCACAACACCAACACTTTGAGGTTGATTCTGTATTATCTGAGTAACAGCATTCAAGTAGCCAGTCCCCATTCTATTTATTATAATAAGCACACCTAAACCTCGACAGAATGCGGTTATCTGGATCTAGTAACACTACCCTGTAATATGCAAGGACTGCATAGTCAATAGTCCCCTCCCCTTCCTTGGTTCCATCTTACCTCATACTGTGTAACAAGGCTAGGCTGACATGTGGTGATAAAAACAGGTTCTGGAATAACACTGAAGAAACTTTGTTATTCATTTTATTTTACTTTGGAAGAAAACAAACATTTACATGTATACTGATAATTACTAACCACAGTAAACATGAAATAATAACACACAGTATAGTAGAAATTCCCTATTAAGTGCATGCAAATTTAAAAAGAAGTGTAAAATTAAAGTGTTTACAATTTAAGTAAAAGCACATCATGTTAAATTTCCACTGCATCAGAGCATTACTATTTGAAAAATGAACCAGTCATTTTTTGCTTTCATCCTTCATTTGTCATCTTCCTTGCAATTTCAACAACTGACTTCAATTGCAAAACTTTAACTCAGTCCACATCTTGACAATGAAGTGGCCATATTGCAGTAAAACACCAATGAGGGGGAGACTATAGCTTGCAAAGAACAACCTTACAATGTACAGAACATTAGAATGATGGGCAGATCATTGATGGGTTTTAAAATGGACCATACCTTTTGTGTGAAGTGATACCAAGGATTACGTAGTGTGGTTCAGATGCGTATAGCTTGGAAAAAAGGCTAAAGGAGGTTTTGGCTCTCAAAAAGATGACTGATATTTGATTTGAGCTGCAGATAATCATGAAAATGGTGGAGTTACAGCTATTAAAGTGATCGATCAAAAACTAATTAGGATAATAAAGACCAAATTGAGTTTTGACAATTATTGAAAAAGAATTATGCTAATTTCACACTTTGTTATTAAAAATAATCAAATGATTGAAGAAGTATGTTTGTTTTATGTGTTTTTAATGGCCTTTTGTTATACAAGAAACTGCTGCCATTTATGCTTCTTCATTTTTAAAAATGGAGTCCAAACACCAACCACGTTATATCCGAATTGGCATTGTATCAAAGTGTGTTATGTCAAGGTTTAGGTGTGTGTTTTAATAACATTAAACAAGGCTATTACATGAACTTTGCTGTCTGTCCACAACTATAGCTGAGCAATTAACTTGATTAATTGATTACCTATAAGCATTAATTGCTTCAATTACTGTCACATAAAATAATCAAGAATAGTGTTTCTGATTATTACTGTTTTTGATTATTCCAGCTAACAAAGTAATTAAAATATTGCCAGTATGGTGTCTCAAAAATTATCATTATTATTGTTTTGAATATTTCACATTCGTTCAGCTTTGGACCAACATTGGTGATTAAAGTGTAAAATATATAGGGGTAGCAGAATGGCATACGTGTGCATCATTTGTTGGCAGTAGAAAGGGGGAGAATTGATATGACTGTCAAACTCATAAAAATGAGAAAAGAAATAGAGTAAGGGTTTTCAAAATCCCTCTGTTATTGAGAACAGACATAAGCTATTTATAACATAGATTAAATTATAATATCATTCTAGTTTGTTATCTATCATTTACTGATTCCAAAATAATAATTAGTAGAGTTTGTATTTTTTTTATCATCTTTTGGTTTTAAAAGTGTCCTATTGTAATTAAATTTAGTCATTCTTTACATCAGAATCACATGTAACATTACTAACTTTTAAACTTTTTGTAGAGTTGTGATTGCTCATTGGGAGTTATCTGCTTGAGTTTTGAGTCCTAGTAGCTCAGTTGGTGAAATATTGGCACAGTGTGACCAAAAGATCATGAGTTCAGGTCCTGGTTAGGGCATATTTATTAATATCCATATTTATTATACTGTTAAACATATACTTTGTATGTCTACGAATCTGTTTACATTGTTTTTCGTATAAAAAAAAAGAACACTAGTGCTATATAGTACTTATTAATCCTAAGTTAAATGTGAATATACTGTATGTTGTAATAAAGTTAGGCTTAACCTATCCAAGCTAT